CGACAATAACACATGTCTACCTTGGTTGACCAAAAAACACCATTGAAGATTACTTAACACATGAACGTGCTGTTAGGTGAGCCTATGCAAGTAGGCTTGATGTGGTAGGGTTACCGGCCAATTGATACAGCATGCAGCGATCGAGGAAAATCGTCATAAAATCAAAACTGCTTAACATTTTTCTGTTATTTCTTCGCATGAAGATGTGCAATGGAACAAGGAATCATGCAGACTATTCACTTAAATGTTTTGGGAAACCTTTTAGCTCGTTTGATTCATTACGGTGTGCTTCATTAGGTAGCGAGCCTGTCTCAAATAGCCCCACCGACTTTCAGTATGTCTGTTTTCACGCCACCAGGGCTATATACAAAAACTTTCTTTCAAAATTTTACTGTTGTTGTCTTTAGAATAGTCCTTGATGATCATTCTGCAAATTGGAAAGTTTAGGGTCACATCATATTATGACAGCCTTAGCATATAGTGATGCAATTTTATAACCCACCGAAATGAAGCATCCTACGAAAAAGGAAAAGATTGAATATAAAGGAAATGTAACTGTCTTTGCAAAAGCAATTTTTGCCAGAATGATCAAAATTTAATTTCCAATCACATGGCATTTAAAAAATTATCTCTAGCGTGACCGATTTTCTTCAATTTCTTCGTAACTAAAACTGTCTCAAATAGCCCCACCCTATGGGGCTATTTGAGACAGGCTTTAACTAAAAAAAATATCCTTAATCATTATTACTAGCTGAACCAAAATGCACCTATATGAAAGAGCTTACGGAGAACTACATTTTTGCAATTTACATGCTATAAGAAATATGAACCGTCTTAAAGGGAGAGGCCAAAAACTGTAAAATCCGTTTCAAATAGCCCCACTTTACGGTACATTAAACTGCAGATTTGACAGAGCTATAAAACTGCTATCTCGGATTTTTGAAAGCTTTGGATTTCAACCCTTCAAAATAAAAAAAGTAATTTTTGGGATATCATAGAAAACAAATCCCAAATGTATTTTTTTTTTTATTTAACACGCGCAGTGGACGGGGGCGGATTCCGCTCACCCCTCCTGTTTTTCGCCAATAACTCGCGCCGCAAACAAGATATTAATGTGAAATTCTGGCTACCTGTCCAGAATTGAACTGCAGATCTTCTCGTGCAAGAAATAAGAAAATCGGGTCACAACTTTTCTTGTAATAGCGGTGTAAAGTCAAACATCCTGCCGCCGTGGCGGCGCGGCGGCGCGGCGGGCGGCGCTAGCCGTTACGCGCTGCCTGAATTGTAGACTGTGCCGGGGCGGGACGGTTCCGTCTTTACATCGCGCTCCTTACCGCTGATTATATTCGATTCACGTCAAATTGTGTGAGAAGACTAAGAAATGTACAGAAAATCTCATGGTCAAAGAATTTTGAAACTCGGCCGGTAACAACTTGAGTTATGAGTGTGTAAACACAAAATTGTGATTGCCGCGTTTCCCGCGGCGGCCGATCCCGCTTCAGCCGGCGACATCTTACCCTTAGCAGGCTTCTAGCCACTGGCGGATCCAGGCTTGTGTTTTGGGGGGGGGGGCCAACTCATGCAGGAGCCAAACCTAGGGTACCCCCAAATCCTGTTTTCTCATCGGATTTAGGCCACTTATTTTTCGTCACAGCCCTGACACTATGAATTTTTTTTTTAACTAAAAAGAAAAATATATAAATGGTAGCCCAACCGACCCATTCCTTTATATTACTTTGTAAACACTTACCATTGTTTTTATCGACCAGTTAAAGGGACCCTCCCACCTTAACATTAGATTTGCATTTGAGCTGAGATAGCCAAAATGGGGTCCCTGGCTCACAATTACCGGTTTCGGCACGCACTCACAACATCGAGAAATGCCTTAAATCGGAAATATTGAATTTCAAAATTGCAGCATTTTGATTCAGAGGGGCTAATGCTTTTGGATACCCCTCTGAATGTGTGACGTCAGCGGAGATCTAATGATTTTTTAATATTTTACTAAAACGTTTGGTAGCATGCGGTGGTATAGGCTGCTTTGCGCGCAACAAATGCCGCACTTTCAAATAAAGTCGCTAGGAACAGCAGCGGATATCCCAAAAAGTAAACAAAAATAAAAGTCTAATCTCTTGAAAACCGGTGAATATTTTTCGATAAAATTTGGTAGATATTCGTTTTCGCCCTTTCTGAACCTAGCGACATCACTTTCATGCCAATTCATCAACTTTTTTGAAGGTGGGAGGGTCTCTTTAACCCGCTTCGAGTCAGTGCTTGGGTCCCTTTGCGGGCCGGGAGGAAGTAAAACAGCCCTGTCTAACTCGGCTCCTGGGCCACGCCCTGATTGAACTATGTTTCATTATCGTTTGGGGGAGGGGGAAAACGGGCCACTTTAGGCCTCTGGGAAGGGGGCATGGCCCTAAATGCCCCCTCCCTGGATCCGCCAGTGTAAGAAGAGACCATTGGAGCTGCAGTTGGGTACCTCAGACATCAGGGTACGCCCTCAGATGTATGTATAGGACTCGCATGGAGACCTCTTATGCTATAGTGTACTGAAAGGACCCAAAGGAGCCTGTCTATATGGGCTCCCGGAGATAGACGTGGGCCCTCAGGAGCCCGCCAGAGCCCCAATGAGGGATAAGTGAGGGATACCAAGTGCCTGCAATTGCATATTGCATAAGCCATAACGCCTTTACAAATCAATATATTATGCATCAGTGGCAGATCCAAGGGGGGCCACATGGGTCATGACCCCCTTGGTGCCCGGGGGCACCACAGGCCTGTCAGGGGCACCACCGGCCTAGTAGGGGCACCACCAGCCCGCCAGGGGCACCACAGGCCTAGCAAGGGCACCACGGACCTGTGAGGGGCCCCACTGGCTTGTCAGGGGCACCCCAGGTCTGTCAGGGACACCAGAGACCTGCCAGGGGCGCTGCCGGCCTCGCAGGGGCACCATGGGCCTGTCAGGGACACCAGAGGCCTAGCAGGGGTACCACAGGCCTTACAGGGGCACCACCGGCCTTGCAGGGGCACCTTGGGCCTGTCAGGGGCACCACAGTCCTGTCAGGGCCCAGGGGCACCAGCGGCCTAGCAGGGGCACCACAGGCCTGCCAGGGGCACCACCGGTCTAGCAGGGGCACCATGGGCCTGTCAGGGTGTCCGCTCGCGCAACTTTTGACTGACCCTCACTGCTACTATATTGCTTCCATATTATGCTGTGGAAAGCTTTACTTCACCAAGTGGCTAAAAACCTCCATCAAGGTATATTTTCTTAGCAATTTTTCTGGCGTTTTGGGGGGGGGGGCCAAACAGGCCACTTTAGGCCTTTTAGGCCTGGCCATGGCCCCCGTGGCCCCCCTGGATCCGCCAGTGCTTCTAGCTACCATGTTTATTGTTGCATTAACTAGAAATTCACCATACATGCTCACAAATAGATATTCTTTCGTATAGTGAAAGAAAAAAGAAAATCGGCCAGTAACTTTTTGAGTTATCGGCGTGTAAACGCAAAAAAAATCGCTCATATGGCAGATTTGACCACATTTGACCTTATTTGACCTTGGAGATATTGACCTAGGGTCATGAAATTCACAAACAACAGAGATGCCCGGGGCTTTCACCTACCCTCCAAATTTCGTCTTTCTAGCTCCAGTGGGAGCTGAGATCTTGGGGGGGGGGGCGACATCCGCCCCCCTCCCCTTCCACTGGGCGTAGTACTCGCAACCCTTCCACTGCGCGTGTTAAAAAAGGACCACATGTGATGTTACCACTTACCTACCGACTTCTATCCACATACCGAATTTCAGATCTATACCTCTCTTTTTTTGGCCAAGTTATAGCGAAAATACTGTTAAAAATGATAACGTCAAATTTTCAAACTCAATTTATAGGAATTCTAGACCATGTAGCGCAAAATTAAGACCACCATTAGACTCCCCGTGACGAGCTGCATCGAATCGATACCCATTTTATGCAGAATTATCAGCTTTGAAATTTGACCAAATTTGACCTGAACTTGACCTGACCTTCACCAGAACATAACCTAAACTGGCCTAAAAGGCTGCCTGACCCACATAATCGCATTTGTCATGTAATTTGGACCATAAAACATGCATCACACGACACTTTCATACTGTGACCCTCAGTGACCTGACCTGGTATCAGTGACCCTAGATAGCAAAATATGAGTTCGACGAACAATACGCCATCGATGATTTTCAATAACATACCAATTTACTCGATTTCACAACACATTTCTTGCAAGGCCTGTATGTATACGGTGTAAACGGTGAAAATGCGGCCTTTGACCTGTGACGTCATCGGTTGGACCGAGATTTGGGTCACAAGGTAGTTCCCTGGTGGGGCTATCGAACACCGTTTGAATTTTGAAAATCAGCTGGTAAATTTCCGAGATCTTAACCCTCGCCCGCACATGCAATTTTCTCATCCTAGAACGCACATGGGGGGGGGGGGTGATTGCCACCCCCCGCGCTATTTCGTTCCTGTTGAAGATAGAGCTTCGCGGTAAAGACCAAAAAGATTCTTTGGGAGAGACAAATCCAATGATACCCAGTTTTACCTTCTGAGGTCAGTCATTGACCTTCGAGGCCATGTCAAACTAAAAAATGTTGCTGTTTTGGGTCACCGTTGGATATCAAGTGCGCTGCTTATCATATACCGATGACAATGCCGTTTTCTGGTGCCAAGCCAGCTAGAACCACTTTGTCACACTACCCGACCAGGTTTTTGCTGCTGAGGTCATTTCAGGTCAAGTTAGGTCAAGGTCAATGATATGTATTTGTATGTCTGTGTGTGTCTGTGTGTATACTGATGTGTGCACCGATTGTTTATGTGTCCATATTACATGAAATCATGATCTGAGAAGCTTTTACCAAAAATTCAGTCAAAAAATTTCACGAAAAGTAAATTAAGCTTGCCTAAAACGCAACTATTCTAGATGACCTAGGTTGAACTTGACTGTAGCCGCCTGAACACCCAGACGATGGTTGTCGGAACTGGTTCTTGTATTGTACCGTTTCTGCAAGCGAAAATATGGCTCACAATCGACACACAGGCCACATACACAGAAGTTCTTGCGGCCACCATCATCTATTATCGTGTACACCAGCGTCACTATCGTAACACATCTATCAAATAGACGCTCAATTTACCAACACGAGCATTTATCAATGAATATCTTACCGACTGTCGCGTTTCGTCGGGCCTGCTCGCCTCCCACTACTCCGACAAGGGCAACTGCCTATATTAAGGCGAATCAAAGGACAAACAAGTTCTTCATCACGGCCCGTGACCGATCTTGGACCAAAATGCCTGCACTCGCCCCGCTCGCCAACATGGCAGCCAATAGAGCGCGGCGGCGCCGCTGGATCTACGCAAAACAAATACCAGTACTTCGAAACATGAACAAAGCTTGACGAATCACGCGCTATTGGTATTACAAATAAGGCTCAAAGGCCCAAAGTTCGCAAAATCATAGGCATAGAGTATCAGATACCCACAAAAGAAAAGAAACAAACATTGCAGCCTCACAGTACTTAGCTCATCCCCGGCACAAGCCCCCCGCCCACCTCTAAGGCGCGGCCGGCGATCAGCTGATCGGCAAGGTCAGCCACCGGCCCAAGGGGGGAGGAGGGATGCGCCGGGGAGGGGAGGGCCGGCCGCCCGCAGGAACAGGCTACTAAACCGCATGGCGCCTACACCGCCCCCTTTGAAGGCACGCGCATTCAACACTGGTCTTAGCCTATTTCAACAACCCTAAACTAACACATGAGACGAGACACGCGCAGTCAAACACAGTCCTAGCGTTCACAATACTCGTTTTCGCACATGAGGACCAGTTTGTTGACAGGGCGGAGTATCTCTGCGCCCTTTGCTCTCAATCTAACACTACGAACCAGGCCATCCTTGCCCGGAAAAGTTTCAATGACGCGGCCCAGGGGCCAGCGAGACCTGGGGAGCTCCCTATCGGCTACCAGGACGACGTCGTTCACCATGAGTGATCTCGTAACACGAAAGGCCTTCTGCCTCTGCTGCAAGAGTGGAATGTATTCTTTGATCCACCTGGACCAAAAAATGCCGGCCAAGTATTGCGCTTGGCGCCACCGTCTCCTCAAGTACAGGTCACCCGCTCCGAATACTCCCACCGGGACGGATAGCGCGCCTCCCGCCAGCAAGAGATGGTTGGGAGTCAGTGGCTGTGGGTCACCGCTATCGCTGGACACGTACGTCAGTGGTCGACTATTTATAATGGACTCGACTTCGCAGAGGAGAGTTGTCAGGGTCTCTTCGGTGAGCACTTGTTCTGTCATCAGTGCATCTAGAACCTTCCGTATGGTACGAATGACTCTCTCCCAGACACCCCCATGTGACGAAGCTTCTGGGACGTTGAAGTTCCACTGAATCTTCCTCTGCAGCAGGTTCTCATGTATGACGTCCTCACTCCTCGAGAGGTGTTCCCATTCTGCTTTCAGTTCATTGTTTGCTCCCACAAAGTTCGTGCCACGATCTGATCGGATGGTCTTAACTTGCCCGCGTCTAGCAAGGAATCGTCTCAGAGCGCAGAGGAACGAATCGGTAGACATCGACTCAACTACTTCTATGTGTACTGCCCTCGAGACGAGGCACGAAAAAACGATTCCGTACCTTTTCTCCTGTCGTCGTCCCTTCTTGACGTAGAAGACGCCAAACATATCCAGCCCGGTGTTTGTGAATGGTGGCTCATCCGGGGTCACCCTGTCCTCAGGCAGGTTCGCCATCTTCTGGTTCAGGAATGGGCCCTGACGACGACGACAGCTGACACAGCGACTGAGGACGCGTCGGACAGCCGAGTTTCCGCGCAGGATCCAGAATCTCGAGCGCAGCAGCGACAAAGTGTGCTCTCTTCCAGAGTGACCTGCTTCTTCATGGAAGCTCTGAATAATCAGATCGACAACATGATGGCGTCTGGGGAGGACAGGAGGGTGCACCTGATCTTCCCGGATTGGTGCGTGGCGTAGACGTCCGCCTACCATGATCATCCCGTCGTGCAGATACGGGTCCAGCCGTGCGAGAGGACTGGTGATTCCGACGGCGCCCTTCCCTTCCAGCGAGGCGAAATCAGCGGCAAACTCACTTCTTTGAATCCTTGTGACTATTGCCCTCTCAGCTGCTTCAAGTTCTGGTACAGCAAGCCGCTGTCTCACCTGAGCCTTCGGCTCGGATCCGAGTACGGACACCTTACGGCATCGTTCTACCAGGCAGCGCTTCAGGCGAAGGATCCATGCTACAGCGCACACGAGTCTGTACCAGACAGAGTAGTGAGAAAACAGCTCCTCCAACGGGTCGCAGCCAGCGCGCGCGACTGCAACGCTGGTGATCTTCACCTCTGGGTCGTTTTCTACTCGACGATCGAGTCCAGCCGGGGGCTCAGGCCACTCATCCCGTCCCTTCCACAAAAAGGCCGGAGCATCGAACCACCGCGGGTTCGCGATGAAGTTGTCCGCTAATTGTCCCCTCGATGCATCGTCTGCCGGGTTGTTCGCTGAGTCAACGTACCTCCATTGTGCCGGAGAAGATACGTCCCGTATCACGGCCAGACGGTTGGTGACGAACGTGTGAAAACGTGTCGTTTCGTTCTGGAGGTAGCGAAGCACTGTTGTGCTGTCCGTCCAGAACACACTTTCATCAATCTTGACTTGCAGAGCGCGTCGCAGTGTGGCTTCAATGCGAGCAGCCAGAGTGGCTGCTGTCAGCTCCGCTCGTGGGACGGTGAGCTTTCCATTCAGGGGCAGAACCCTCGCCTTGCCGAAGACGAACGCACAGTGAACTTGTCCGTCACAACAGACGATTCGAAGGTAGGACACCGTGCCGTACGCGACAGAGCTTGCATCTGCGAAGTGATGGAGCTCTCGGGTCTGAATAGGTCCAAGGCCAGCTGGCTGTACACATCTAGGGACGCCGATGGTCGAAAGTAGTGCTCTGCCGCGGATCCATTGCTCCCACTGAGCTTGAATGTCCTCCGGTGCCGGGTCGTCCCAATCGTAGCGTCGTCGTGTTAGTTCCTGTAGAATGATACGACCGCACACAACGAATGGTGCAGCCATCCCCATCGGATCGTACAATGATCCGATGACCGACAACATTCCCCTCCTCGAGCATGGCATACTCCGATCTTCCGTGGTTGAGAAGCCGATGACGTCCGGGTTGACTCGCCACTCAACCCCCAGTGTCTTTTCCAACGGAAGTTCTTTCTCGAGGTTCAGTTGCTTCACGTTCTTCCCTCTGTCTTCTGGTGGGATCGATTGTAGGACTTTCCTCTGGTTACTGACAAATTTGGCTAGGTGGAATCCACCCCGGCTGCACAGCTCTCGCACCTCCCTGACCAGGTCGATGGCTTCATCGATCTTCGTCACCGACTTAACCAGGTCATCAACGTAGATGTTGCTTGAGATCGTCTCACAGGCTGCAGTGGAGTGTAGGTCGCCAAAGTCGACGGCTGTCCGTAGAAGGGCGTAGCTCGCACAGCTCGGGCTGGATCTCAACCCGAACGGATGCACCGTCATGCGCCAGACTTCCACGTCTTCAGCAGGGTCACCGTTTCGCCACCACAGAAAGCGGAGCAGGTCGCGCTGGTCGGCTGGTACAGACACCTGATGGAACATTGAGTTGACATCGCCCATGAAAGCTACTTCTTCCTGGCGGAACCGCAGTAGAACGTCAATCAGGGGAGTGCAGAGAGACGGGCCCTGCAGGACTGCGTCATTCAAGGAGACGCCCTTGAAGGTGCTCGAACAATCAAAAACAACTCGGAGTTTGTCTTTCTTCCCGAAGACACCGTGGTGGGGAATGTAGTTGACAAGTCCATCGTCTCTTGTCAGGTCTTGGGAGCAGGCTGGCGGTCAGAAGTTTCTTGATTACCTCCTGCTCTCCATCATGCTGAGGTTGAGGGGGCTGAGCTCTGGTTGGTACGGGTTGAGGGTTTAGCTCAGCAGCGCCATTCGATCGAGACTGCTGTTTCTTCAACTTGTGTGCCACGCCAGAATGGGAGCTCGCTTGGCTTGCCATCGCAAATGCCTCCTCCTTGGCCTCTGCTTCTGCAATCTCCTCTTGAAGTTTGAGTTCTTCTCGTTTCATCTCCAGCTCTCTCTCTTGGGCTTCCAGACGATGCTTTTCCTTCAGGAATCGAAGCCTCACTTCTGCAGCAGCACGTTTGGCAGACTCTTGTGCACGTAGGGATCGCATAGAGCCCCCTGAGCACCTCGATCCACATGCAACTGAATGTTCAACTTGGGGTCCAGCTGCCAGCTGTGAGGCGCTATCACCAACCTCTGATACATCTTGAACGTCTCCATCTGGTGGCTTGGTTCTCACGTGTGAGGCACCATCTTCAGCCCCATCCACAGTAACCGCCCGCAGCTCACCAGCAGTTTTTGGGTCAGTTGCCATTTCAAAGGCTTCTTCCTTGAGGACCAGGTTCAACCTCTCTTTCAGAACTTCCTTTGATCCTCTTGTATCTTGTCCTCTCTTTTCAAGCTCATCCCTGAGCTCTTGCACTTTGAGCCGCTCAACATTCAGGTCCATGTTCAATGAGATTAAGGAGACAAGTTGAAGACCAAGCAAAATGAAGATCAATGGGTGACACGCCTTCAATCTCTGAGAGCTCATGGATTATCAATGTGCAAGTTAAACAACCATGGAAGTAGACTAAATAGGTTCAGCGTGGCCAGCTTCAGGAATGTGTCAAGAATCCGAAAGCTATCAGTGAGTGCCTCTAATCAATCTCAGTTCTGTTCTTGCTTAGCAACCTATGGCGAATGTATCCAGACTTTAACTATCAACTTCAAAGCAATCTTCTGAAGCCTGGTGGTGTGAGGTCCAACTTCAATACGAGGTTGACGTAGCAAGATAATAGTAACAAATGGATGATCAAGATATTTGTCCTGGACAGGAATGATGTCACTCGCCCAATGGCCAATGTGATAACAGTCAAGGGTTCCCCAAAGTTGGAAACTACGTTCAATGATATCACACCAGTACCCAATAGCAAGTTCAAGGTACGGATCCTGCCCAACGATCAACGGCAACACGCACAAACAGTAACGCAAGTCAATGTCAATACATTTACAGATGCACTTCTCGTGTCGCTGATTTACCCAATCATGTGCATAGTGATAGCACACCCCCTAGCACAGTTCAGCTGCAAAAGCTCTAGAGTTCAGAGTTCAACCTTAGCACCATACCCACTGCTCACTGTTCTCCGAGCGGGTGCAGTGCCAGCCGCCAGGATGCAGATCTGCTCGTCCACGTCCAGATGTGCAGCAGTGGCAGCAGCGGTGTGTGGCAGCTGTAGCTGTAGTTGCTCGTGTGCAGAAGAACTCTCCAGAAGCCAGGAGGGAGCAGAGGTGCAGCCGACTCAGAGGTCAAGTCGAAACTGTAGCCGCCTGAACACCCAGACGATGGTTGTCGGAACTGGTTCTTGTATTGTACCGTTTCTGCAAGCGAAAATATGGCTCACAATCGACACACAGGCCACATACACAGAAGTTCTTGCGGCCACCATCATCTATTATCGTGTACACCAGCGTCACTATCGTAACACATCTATCAAATAGACGCTCAATTTACCAACACGAGCATTTATCAATGAATATCTTACCGACTGTCGCGTTTCGTCGGGCCTGCTCGCCTCCCACTACTCCGACAAGGGCAACTGCCTATATTAAGGCGAATCAAAGGACAAACAAGTTCTTCATCACGGCCCGTGACCGATCTTGGACCAAAATGCCTGCACTCGCCCCGCTCGCCAACATGGCAGCCAATAGAGCGCGGCGGCGCCGCTGGATCTACGCAAAACAAATACCAGTACTTCGAAACATGAACAAAGCTTGACGAATCACGCGCTATTGGTATTACAAATAAGGCTCAAAGGCCCAAAGTTCGCAAAATCATAGGCATAGAGTATCAGATACCCACAAAAGAAAAGAAACAAACATTGCAGCCTCACAGTACTTAGCTCATCCCCGGCACAAGCCCCCCGCCCACCTCTAAGGCGCGGCCGGCGATCAGCTGATCGGCAAGGTCAGCCACCGGCCCAAGGGGGGAGGAGGGATGCGCCGGGGAGGGGAGGGCCGGCCGCCCGCAGGAACAGGCTACTAAACCGCATGGCGCCTACATTGACCCTGACCTTGACATCTGTACATCGTCGAACAACATGTTCCATGATAGGTGGAGGTAAGACTGGCAAAAAAAGGCCGAAATAAAGGTGTCAAAAGCTCACAAGGCCCATAGCCAACGCAAGAAGTTGGGAATTGATCATTTGGGTCATGACATGACCTGAAAAACAAGGTCATATCTCCAAAACCAAAAACCACAGGAACTTGACATTTTCAGTGGACATTAAGGAAGGATAAAGAAGCAGCTATACGAAAAATCAAGCTTCTAGCTAAAAAAAAAATGTTGAGTGCAGATCAGAAAAACTACGTGGGGTGTGGTCCCCATGTGCGGGCGAGGGTTAAGGGAGGCTGAAACACCTCCCCCGGCCCCCTGCGGGTGGTAAAATCCGCCGATAGCTCTACGGGGCGCGGGTTAATTATGTTACGTTATGCATGATTATACTCGTACAAATACCCTTTAGTGTGAATACTTAGTAATGAAAACACCACTTATGCATGTCACCTTGGTCACCAGCCAATCAGCAATGCTGCCTTTGGATTGCTCCCGTTCGTTATGTCCCGTCTTTGCACGTAACATGCAGGTGCTGATAAATCCGACTTAATTGCACGATACAACTGAACGACCGCTGCTTTCTGCACGCTTGAGTTCGTTGCGTGACAGTTCGATCATTTGTAGGGTGCTGCTTAGTGTTTGTTCTGGACAAAACATCTATCTTTTTAAAATTCGCTCTCATGGACTGTTACCATGCGCTATACTTTACCGGAAGGTAAATGCATACATTGCATTCCACTCCTAGACGGTTGCACAAGTTAAAATAATTGAAGGATTAAAACGATAGGTTGTGGAGGACAGATAATGCTAAAAATGAAAAAAAAAATCAAATGATAAAAAATGCTAGCCTCGGTTGAGTTGAGGATGTTGTTGAATAAACTGAATGATTGAATGAAAAATAAAACCCTGCCACCAACCGCAACCATACCTGTCAGGAGGTTCATAAGCGTCAAGCGCCCGTCGCTCTTCGAACTCGGACTGTTATAACCGGGAACGCGTGCTCTCACCACGCGGAGTCCGTCGCTCTGCCGACTGAGCTACGGAACCGGATTCGACCACTTAGGCTATCGCGGGTAGGGGAATAGCCCAGGCGGTTCCGGGATTAACAGATTCTGCGCAATCCGCCTTTCGGTTTATAAGTGGCTCTTGAAACCATAAGACAATGAAATTAGCCATTTACCCTGAATATTTACCGTAAGTAAATGTCACCAAGTACCCTTCCGAGTAATAGCAAACTATGAACCCTTGTCTTTCCTGAAATTTGGCAAAAACCCCGAAACCCGGGACAAACACACAGAACCCTGTTTTTCCATAAACCCACTAATCACTATCCATGGAAAAAAAACTATTAACACAGGGTTTTCACAGCCCTGTCTCTGATAAAAGTATTGACTCACTTATAGCCACTACTCGATAAAAATCGGTGCTCTCAATTATCCTTCCGACTTTTCACTAATTACCAAAACATAAACCATTATTTACTTGCTTTTGACGTTTTGCATCAAACATAACGCTTGCGCCTTCTAGAAGAAAGATGGACGTTAAAATACGGCATACGACATAAAACCAGTCGAAACAAGTGCACACCGGCCCAAACACAATCCTCCGGTCACATTTTCCTTCATTCCGAGAGCTTACGCTGAGAAATGCGTGACCACCGTGCAGAAGCAGCAGCTCCTTTGGATGACGTCACAAAGGGGCGTGCACACCCCGGCTGTATAAAACGGGCCCGCTGACCCTGCAGTTTAACTGCAATCTCGACGGCAGCTCAACGTCCTCTCGCGACACACCGATCCTTACCGACATGAAGGTGAGCCTAACACTCATTGCAGGACAGTTGTAAACGCTGGTTCAAAAACTCACGTGCGCAAATGTTTCGTAAAAATGCAGCCGTATTGATTAAACGTACCGTTGCTATGAACTAAGGCAATAGCTATGTAACTTTTCAGAAGATCACGGGTCACTAGGCCATCAAAAAATCAAATGAATTGACGCAAACACTTCACCTGCATTTCCTTGTATTCTTATCGTTGTATTTCTCCTATAAAAGCGACCCTGTGTGACTTATGTAGGTACCAATCACGAAAATAATATCTTACAACGTATGCTAGAACAAACCACGAAAAGCTGTAAGGATTTAACATTTCAAGACGTATCACTTCGTTAAGTAAAACTTCTAGTATGCTATACAATGATTGCACCCACAGTTTATGCATTACACATCTTGGTTTGAATTACCCTTGCTATGTCGCAAGCCATATAAAAATGCTGTTTTTTTACCAAAGACGCTTTACCACAATCACTGACCATCGGAGGCTATAGCAAGGCCCTATATTGTAGTTACGATCTCCAATGGAGAACCAAGCCTCTAAAAGAAAAGAACAAATCTGACCCGACTTTTAACATGACGCCTAGGCAGTGCACGAAAAGTGGACACGCAAGCATCGTCCGATTCTCTGACAGCCCTTGGGACCGAGCTACAGTGTAATCGACGACGTGTTACATAACTACTGAATCCGTTCAGCAGAATTGTGGTAAAGTTTTCGATTAAGTCATTGGCAAAATCTAACGAAATACGCATCAGTTGAGCACTTTATGATTTTGACTAGTTGTAAAAGAATATTAAGCTAACGAAGTAATATTTCTTTTTTCAGCTGGTCATCCTCTTCGCCCTGGTGGCTGTTGCCGCTGCCAGCTACCTTCCCTACCACGGCAGCAACTACTACTACAGCCGGCCCTACTACTATGACAACTACTACAGCCGGCCCTACTACTATGACAACTACTACAGCCGGCCCTACTACTATGACAACTACTACTCCCCCTACGGACGGGGCTTCCAGGGAAACTTCGGCTTCAATAACTTCGGCGCCTTCGGCGGTCGCTTCAACAACTTCGGACTTGGAGGCATCGGCAACGGACTCGGCTTTGGTCTCGGCTATGGCCGAGGTTACGGTGGCGCTGGAATCTTCAACAACTTCGGCCTAGGACGTGTCGGTGCATTCAGCCGTGGCTTCGGACTTGGATCGGGATACGGCAACTGCTTTTATGGCATCTGCTAATGAACTTCTGTTGGAAACATGATCACGTCAGACAACGTTGCAAGATTGATCGGCATGCATCTTTGACTTTGTGTTCGTGCTCTTTTGTCGCTTAGTGTTCTGACAACGGTCATTACTATGGCCATGTCAGACTCTCTGCCTTTGTGTGATAATACGTGCTATTGTGAATACGTGCGTGTCTATTTGTGCTTATTTCTGGTAATAAACACTCGGCTGAAACATCATGGTGGTTAAACTAGTTACTATCTATCATAGCCCGAATACCATGCATCAGAGGCGGATAAATGTTGATTGTTGATAACAAGCGAACAATATGGGAACGTGTAGAGGTCAAAAAGAAGTTCAGAAAGTCGGATGCTCAACAGAAACAACTACATACTTGATCAAGTCATCCTTGAACTTGTAGAGTTGTCTTTACGAGGAGCCATAACTATTTCATTGAATGTTTCAACAGCTTTAATGCTCGCCAGACTCATAGGTGTCCTACATACGTTTCGGCCGAGAAAGAGGGAGCTGAGGGAGGCTACGACGGACGACCCTCTCCCGCCGTTTCGCCCCTAATTGAGCTAGAGTTTCGCGGATAAAACGAGCCTGTGCGCTGTGACGAAACGCAGCGACCCGTATCCGATTTTAAGGTCTCAGGTCAACCGGTGTCTTGTAAGGTCAGGTCAAGTGCTCCAAGGTACGGGTTCAAATTTTGGTAAACAACGTCGACAAAAATGGTCGTGAAGACAAGATTTGGTCACCATCGTGTTCCATGTTCATCATGATCAGGCGTGTCGAATGACATGCTTTTGTTTGGGTGAGGACAATTTAATGTGCTGATCTCAGGTCAAGGTTACGTCAGAGCCACTCAGGTGACGAAGTTGGTCGAAGGAAGCCATACTACACATCATTGGCTTTCTCTCCAGTCCATTGGTGGCTTTCGCGATTCGCTAACTCAATTTAATCGGGAGTTAGGTACTGTCACCTCCTATGACCTCGTCATACGAGGTATACCATGCAAAAAGGAAACATCAAACCTTGCAAGGAGAGCATAAACTCACGATTTCATCATTCATGTGATTGAGGTAGTTTTAGCTCATTCCTGGCTTCTAAATAATTTTTTCTCCATTGACTTATAATGGCGAGGTCAGGTCACCCACCTCACCCCAGGTGACCTTAAGTAAAAATCTGAGATAGACAAGCTGTGAGTCCTCTGGCGGATATAGGTCGTATAAGTTTCATCTCCTTGTGAAGACTCCTCTAACACTGAGGGTATTGCAAAATTGCGACATTTTAGGACCATGCAGAGGTTCACTTACGTATAGGACAGTAATCTGACCTGACCTGAAAATACGGTTGGTCACACAAAATCCTGCTTGAAGCAGCGGTCAGGTCAGTGTGACAAGTTTCAGCTAGCTCTTGCGTGTTCTGATCTATCACGAAAAAACAACGGTTATAGGTGTGGGTGCAGCACGAGTTCCCCCTCAGCTGACGAGGGTTGACAATATGATAATGTGTACTTCATGTATTTTATCGTAAGTAAAAAAGTAAACTATAAATGACTTCTCTGAAGTGTTTATCCAGGGGCGGATCCAGGAAAACTCCAAGGGGAGGGTCATGAATCGAAGTGGTGCCCCTACCTATACCCAAAATTAAAAACTCAACGGATTTCGTCCACTTCATTTTGGTGGTGCCCCCATTTTCAGTTTTTTATTTTTATTTTTTATTTTTAGTCAGTATCTTAACTCTTAGCCACAACCACATTTACCAATTGTAAGCAAGTATATATGAATGTGCTATGTGCATAGATGCTATGTGTATATATGTTGTGGACGCTGAGTAGTGAGTACTTACCAGGAACGTTATCAGGTAAGCAAATCGTTGTCAGTCCGACGAACTTGACCCTGGCGTCTAAAAGGTCTGTCCTTGACACTTCAGGCTTGTCAGGGGCACCAAAGTCCTTCCAGGGACACCACAAACCTTTCAGGGGCACCTACGGCTTTGTAGGGGCGCCATAGGCCCGCCAGGGGCACCACAGGCCTGCCAGGAAGTAGGGGCACCACAGGTCTAGCAAGTATACACGACAGGCCTGTCAGGGGCACAACGGACCTGTTGGGCCCATGAGCACCCCTAGGGGTAGGGGCACCACAGTCCTTCCAGGGGCACCGCAGGCCTGTGAGGGGCACCAGCGGCCTAGCAGGGGCACCAGTCAACACAGGCCTGCCAGGGGCACCACAGACCTGCAAGGGGCACCAGAGGTCTGCCAGGAGCACCACCGACCCCGCAGGGGTAACTTGGGCCTGTCAGGGGCCAGGGGCACCACGGGCCTGTCGAGAGGCACTTCAGGCTTTTCAGGGGCACCATAGTCCTCTCCGGGCGCAGGGGTAGCAGGGGCACCAGAGGCCTGCCAGGGGCACTACAGGCCTAGCAAGGGCACCACTGGTCTATCAGGGGCACCACGAGCCTGTCATAGCCAGGCATCTCAGGCTTGTCAAGGCCCAGGGGCACCACAGGTCTGTGAGGGGCACCAGCGACCTAGCAGGGGCACCAGTCAACACAGGTCTGCCAGGGGCGCCACAGACCTGCCAGGGGCACCACAGACCTGGCAGGGGCACCAGAGGTCTGCCAGGGGCACCACCGGCCTCGCAGGGGCACCTTGGGCCTGTCAGGGGCACCACGGGCCTGCCGAGGGGCACTTCAGACTTTTCAGGGGCACCAGTCCTCTCCGGGCGCAGGGGTACCAGCGGCCTAGCAAGGGCACCAGAGGCCTGCCAGGGGCACCAGCGGCCTAGCAAGGGCACCAGAGGCCTGCCAGGGGCACCACAGGCCTAACAAGGGCACCACGGGCCTGTCAGGGGCACCTCAGGCTTGTCAGGGCCCAGGGACACCACAGTCCTTCCAAGGGCACCGCAAGCCTGTCAGGGGCACCAGAGGCCTGCCAGGGGCACCACAGGCCTAGCAAGGGCACCACTGGCCTGTCAGGGGCACCTCAGGCTTGTCAGGGCCCAGGGGCACCACAGTCCTTCCAGGGGCATTACAAGCCTGTCAGGGGCACCAGAGGCCTAGCAAGGGCACCACAGGCCTGCCATGGACACCACAGGCCTGCCAGGGGCACCACCGCCCTTGCAGGGGCGCCTCAGGCCTGTCAGGGGCACCACGTGCCTACCGGGGACACTTCAGGCTTGTCAGGGGCGTTACAGTCCTGTCAGGGCCCAGGGGCACCAGGCCCGTGGTGTCCCTGCTAGGCCTGTGGTGCCCCTGGCGGTCCTGTGGTGCCCCTGTCAGGACTGTGATACCCCTGATAGGCCGGTGGTGCCCCTGGCAGGTCTTTGGGCCCCCGGGCCTCAAGGGGGGGGGGCCATGACCCATGTGACCCCCCCCCTTGGATCCGCCCCTGTGTTTATCTATATGCACCATGGACTGCATTGCTCTTCCTTAGAAATTAAGGCAGTGTTTCCGCTACAAGGTGCTTCGTCTAATGGTGATTATAGGAAGCTTCTTTCGCAGTATCTGCGACAGTCCTATAGAGAGTTTTGGCTACCACCGATCAGTGAACAGCCACTGAGGTGGGTTCTCAAACCCTTTTTCTGGGATTAAACTACTTGCTCCATCTCGCTTCTGCACTGTCATGGTCACTTAAGGCTGAAACATACTCTTTCCGCGTTCAGGAAATCGCATGCGAGAGCCTATTCAAATACATTATAATTCTTCTCGCATCAATCGCTTGCGGGAGGTGCGTGCGATTGATGCGAGCGTGCTTCCATGTATTTGAATAGGCTCTCGCATGCGATTTCCTGAACGCGGAAAGAGTCTGTTTCATCCTTTAGAGATCTTAACGTCCAAAGATTCAACAGAGCAGAGCTTCTTCCTTCTATTCTTCCGCGTGCTTAAGCCCGCCTGGTTCTAGTTTCTTTATAACTCGGTTGACTGATAGTCGGTTCCATTTCCCCGGCCCTATACCAAAAAATGCGCTGCGCCAGGCATTTTGCTTCAAGGACAGTGTGATCTGAGCCTTTCATTATTGGGCGGCATAAAAGCTCCTGAGGCAATAAAGGATATTGCAAATCACTGTTACTTTGTTATAACTTACCAGCATGGCACGACCCTTTGTCTTTTCTCTTTCTCTTTTATACTTTCAGAACTAAGGCTATTGTTTATTGCAATAAAAGGCAAAAACGCAAAATACGTTTCTTGAAACTCAAAAACAGCCATTTTTTGAAAAGCATGGCAAAGTCACCCAGCATGGCAAAGTCACCCCCGTTTACGGCACCTTGAATTTAACATCGCTTCACACAATATCTATTACAAAGATGACGCAGGAACAGCCTCCAACTGCACCTGTCCCCAAAGAGGATGAACCGTAATTGTCACATCACGTGTGGATGGTTTATGGTCGTAAATACATATACATGTACGAGTACGCTGTCGATATCTTCATGTTTTCCGAGCGTCGGTGTTTGCAGTCTGCATTACTATAGTTCGTTTTTTTTTTCAAAAGGACGCTGGCTCAAAGTTCAATATCGAAGCTCTCACGTGAGTTTTGGCAGCTTCAGTGTCTGGCCAAGAATTTCTTACCGAAAAAATAATCGATTTCAAATTTTGCACGGTAAGTAGCTGGAAATTGTTTCTTAAAAATGAACATTCTATGATGATGTCACTGGTGGCAGCAGGCACCCAAATGTCCGTGCAGTGGGACAAGTGTCAACGAATTTGGGTGCAGAACAGTTTTTCACTGTTGCCGAGCTTATAATCGAGTGAGCGGTTCCGTCCATGATAGTCATAAGTTACATTGAAATACATGTTCGACAGCATGACGTCACCGCTGTTCTCATATCTGGTTCCAAAACGCCCTTATGGAAATTATCGGGAAGAAATCACATGTTAAAATTAGTCGACGTTCGATTTTCTCAGGTTCAGTTTTTGCTCGTTTTGCTCGCTAAAACACGTGCTTGTTCGAAAAACATACTTGGAGCCAGCGTCCTTTTGAAAAAAAAAAACGAACTATAGCTGCAGCTTTCCGCGGCCATCGCACGTCGAACGCTGATGGATGGATGAAAATCGGCACAGAAGTGCTGCTTCACCATACCAAACTGACTGACAAACCCACAACCACCAGTCTCACTGACGGTAGGTACTTTCGGCACGGCGCCGCTCTGCAATATGATCCCAGCAACACTGAGGAGCTGATCGTAAAGCGGTCGAGCTGCGAGGTATCCGGATCAGGGGTCTTGTCGCAGATCCCCGAGTCACACTAATTATCCAGCCACGTGAAGATTTAACTATTTGGTTTCCGGCGCCCTCGATTGCTTATCTCCATGGGCGTGGCTGTCAGAGTGGGTATAAATCGACACCGCGGCCCCCACTATTCATTCCGCTATTACCGCCTGCATCCAGCGCAGCTCCAGGCCTCCACTTGCCAAGCCATGAAGGTGAGTCTACTGAGGTCCACCTGGAGTTACAGCACCGCCTGTCAAATCTTCCCGTCTGTATTTGCCAGTTGTTACTGTACCCGCCGTAGACATCGACCGCCCTCCGATAATCGGCCGTATATCAGTTTGTGTTAGCATGAATCTTCATTGTCTACCTAAAAGTTGGTTCGCAATTTTCTTTATTGCTGTTGAGCCCTTGTGCGAAGAACATAGGTGTAAACAGTTTTAGTACCATATGACCTTTCTTCGCAAAATGTATACCACCAGACAGGATATAATGATATCGCGCTTACATTTTGGTTTCCTGTACTTTTCCGCATATTTACTCTACCAGTAAAACGCCTTTTGGGCGAAGAACGAGCGAGCGAGATAGTGAGCCCTGCACGTGCGGAAGGGCGAGAGGGTACTTCCAACGGGCTTGTGCAAAGCACCCTTCTAACCGGTCGTTAGCGGTGTGCCAAATTTGAACGCAATCGGTCCAGCCGTTCCTGAGATCTGGAAGCGGCATTCTGCACGTGCACGGGGTCCAAACTGACTTTTGCACGGCACCCTACTAACCGGTCCCCAACCGTGTACCAAATTCGAGCGCAATCGGCCCAGCCGTTCTCGAGATCTGGAAACGCCTCCTGCACGTGCGCACGTGCAGTAGCACCCTAACCGCAAGACATGGGAATGCATTGCCTGGTGGTTGCCTACCTGTATGCCATGTTTCAGCGAAATCGCCCCAGTAATTACCGTGTTACTGAAATGGGAACAAATTTGGCACCTCTTCTTTTTGCATTTTGCACGTGCAGTGGGGGTCACTCACATAGATCAAGAGTATCCGACCTTTGGTAGAAGGGATACAGCTACCCTATAAAAATTACCGCAAGACAATCGCCCAAGCCGCTGCTGAGATATGGGCCTCTCAAAATCACTACTTTTGTAGAACTGCTTGAACACCCTTGGCTTTTCACGTGGCACGTGCCACGACGGTCACTGAGGTGTGTCAAAAGTAGTCAATTACGGGGTAGAAGGGATGGGACTACCCAGCAAAAAAGACCACAGACCAATCGGTCCAGCGGTTGCTGAGATATAAGCCTCTCAAAAGCGTTACAGGCCGGGCCGGGCCGAGCTGGGCCGGGCCGGGCCGCTCATACTGAGATTTTCCCGTTATATTGAAAAGACTTCGCTTCGCTCGCTGCGCTCGCTCGCTCGTAATAAGTGTGAGCAGAAGTTTTAGTAGAATTAGGTAATTTACTAGAAGTAGTGTGCGTAAGCATTCCTAATCATGTAGCATTAACTATACATTTGTTCAAAATATGAATCCATTGCTCAAAACATTCTAGATATTGGAAAGACACGAATGCATGTAATGATCAGATGCTGAACCATCTTTTAAGGAACTCGATGTAGGTAGTAACAAAGTTGACCAAAAAGTTTAAGAACACAGGCTAATAAATTAGAGAACATGACAAAGTAGTCATGATAGAAATTGACCAGAGTTTCTTTCTCTTGTTTCAGCTGGTCATCCTCTTCGCCCTGGTGGCTGTTGCCGCTGCCAGCTACCTTCCCTATCATGGCAGCAGCTACTACTACAGGCAGCCCTACTACTACGGCAGCAACTACTACTCCCCCTATGGACGACCCTACGGAGGTTTGGCCATCGGCGCTGGCTTCAATAACATCGGCTTCGGCTTGGCCCAGGGTGTCGGCGGCTACGGCTACGGCCGTAACTTCGGCCGCCTCGGCGCTCTCGCCTTTGGCGGCGGTTTCAACCGCCTTGGAGGGGGATACGGGGGCTGCTTCTACGGAATCTGCCACTAGATATCTCGGCAACCGAGAGCGCGTTCTACAAGACTGAAGACAGTGCAGAGCACAGCTGACCAGCATGCCAGCTTCTACCCACCCCTGCGATGGGGCTTATCCATCCAAAAGTTGTCCAGTCACTATATGTTTTATGTCTTTCGTGTCTTTAATGTGTGTGTGTGTGGGGGGGGGGGGGGTTGTGCGTGTGGTGTGTGTGCATGAAGAGTGTGTGCCTCTGAGTGCTGTTGACTGTGCCGTCTATCAATACATCTACAGCAATCACACGCGCCAAAAATTGTTTTGTGAAGCACGGAAACATGGAAAAGGTTGTCAATTATAGGGAAATTGACACCAGCGTCCGCTTTCATAAAACGCAATGGCATCTAGGTGTATTTCATGCCCTAAAAGCTACACCCTCTAGAAGTGGGGGGTTTTCCTAGGATCGGAGAGCGTTTTATAGTCAGTCCGTCGATTGTTTTAGACTGTATTGTACTACATACCATTACCCACAATACTTACACCAGTAAAACGCCTTTTTGGGCGACCAGCAACGGAGCGAGCGAGAGGATGGCCCTTACACGTGCGAAATTGCGAGGGGTACCTCCAACTAACTTGTGCACGGCACCCTACTAACCGGTGTCTAGCGATGTGCCGAATTTGAGCGCAATCGGCCTAGTCGTTCTCGAGATGTGGAAGCGGCATCCTGCACGTGCGCAAGTGTAAAATCGGTCCCAACTTTTGCACGGCACCCTACTAACCGGTCCTTAACCACGTATCAAATTTCAGCGCAATCGCCTCAGCCTTTCTCGAGATCTGAAATCGACCCCTGCATGTGCGCACGTGGAGCAGTACACCCCTGTAGCGCATGGATATGCATTGCCTAGTGGGTGCCTTCCTCATATAACTCAGAGCATCATTTATTGCTAGAGAAAGGCAAAATACACACACGTTTTTTTTTACGTTCAGACACAGCAATCGTCGAAATCATGGAACGACCTTGCTAAGACCACCTCACATGCGCTAGCGTGGCGTAGTAAGTCACGATGTTCCATGCACAAGGATCCCGCAAGGAAGCTGACTGTTACCGTTCCCATGTTCCCATTCAGAGTCGCCGGCACGCCCCTGAGTGTGACGAGCACTGTCTCGAGTTCATGTATTTACGTAGAGCACACGGCGATGGTCGGGACACCTGATTACCTCGATCACCGATCAGCACCGAGTGCGGGCGATGGTCAGGACTGGGGGACTGTCAGGACACCGACGTGCAGTTTAGCAACGAACTAGGACAGGTGGACCAGAGACATTGGGGAATCCTGCTGTCTGGGTCTTATGGGCCCGATTTAACGCGTCCAGGCTCGCGAGCATCCGGTGCCTGTCGCCCATGGCAGCAGCGTGTGCAAGCACTGTCCGCTCCACTGTAAATTGGGCCTGCACACTGCCGATTTGCAACGGGGAACATCGTCAGTATCGTCACCGTGTCTCACACTTGAAGTTGCATTTTCGATCCATCAGTCAGTTGTATTTAAATGAAACATGCAGGGCGAAAATCAATTCGCGAGCTTGAACTGACTCGTGGATCTGGGCTCAAATGCATTTACTCAAACAAAGCATTTTTTCACCTATACAGACTACTAGACAAACGTTGTGGCAAAGCGATGAACTGCACTGGCTACAGCCCTTCAAATCTAATCGCATCGCCACGCAAAACTTATCATTTAAAAAAACCTTCACTACTATGTCTTTCTTCGTACGCGCAATCTTAACCTTCGCCCCAGTGGGGGGGGGGGCATATGTTACCACCCTGTCGCGTTTTTTGCGTGTGAATAAAAAACCGCGGCGCGTAGCGCCGCGCCGCTTGGGGTAGCTTTTGGTACATCGATTTTGGACAATGTGTGAAATTTTTGACCCCAGGTCATGTCAGGTCAGGTCACCAGGTCAAGTTAACTGACCAAGCCTAAAAAAGTTTGCAATCATGTCCAGCCTGCAGTGTTTGTCAGAAAGGTTTCAAACTTGGTGGATTGCATGCTGTTATGGGCGCCTACAATTTGTATATCTCGGATTTTTTATATCCGTGACCTAAGGTCAGGTCAGTGGCGAAACCTTTCCATTACAAGTCAATGGAGAAAAATGAAAATGCCTCTAGATCCGTGTGTACGCATCGGAACAGTCCAAATATTTCAGAATCACAATGATTTAGTCCACTCGTGATGACCAAGGTGTCATTTTTGCTGATAGCCTCTAGACAGGTCATCCGAGGTCACTTGAGGCTACAAACAGTTTTTTGCCAATAACTCGCGATTGGAAAGAGATAGAACGCTGGGGTTGGTCTCATTGTGTTTGCCTTGTTGAGACGCATCGACTGATATGCAACATGACCTTTTCCGGTAAGGTCATGACCTTGACCTGAGGTTAAATTTTCAACTTGACCTTTCAAGGTCAAATTATAGTTCATTCGACGCGTCTCGGCGAGAGGAACACGATTCTGGCAATAGAAATGTCGTGGCTTTTTGTAGTCGAAAGTTATTGTCGAAAAACACTTTTCGTAAAAACAGCTATTTTTGGACTTTTTGCCCTCTGGAGGCCAAATCGTTGACCTGAGGTCAATACTGATAATGACCTTTTCAAAAGAAGTGTTCAAAAGCTATCGATTGCTCTTTCCTGCGTTATTCTAGCTACCATAGTTCCTGAGATAGCGTGTTTTCTGAAAAATATGACAATTGGCAAATTTTGACCTTTGATGACCTCTGGTGACCCCAATATTACTCTAAGGTGAAAAATGACTGAAATACTTTCAAACGTACGCATTGAGAGCTATCGACTGCTTTTTACCGCGTCTTTCTAGCCCTCTTAGTTTTTGAGTTAGAGGTGGGTGGTAACATATGCCCCCCCCTCACTAGGGCGAAGTTGGCTGAGACCGCCACTGGGGCGCGGGTTAAGTCGGGTTTCAAACTTAGTCTGTTTGAGTTGGCAGAAAACGGGACTATCATCACCTTGGGTAGAATAACGCCCGAAACGGTATATATTCCAAGATGACGCCCGGAACAGCATGCAGCTACTCTTCACCATAGGATGACACCAGCCGTTTTTACGACGGCCATCTGGTACATATTTAGTGTAGAGTAGGTGCAGATTTGGTGTAGATTTGGTCACATCAGGTTCAGTGTGTTTCTTAAAAGCAATCAGTTTCAGTTGCACAGATGCTTATATACCTCATTTATAAGATTATCAGACATTATTTTCGATTAAAACACTTAAAAAAAATCATGATGTGAAGATATCTACCGCTAGATATCTACAGAATTTGGTGCACATTGGATCAAATTAACTGCATTCGCCAGATAGCCCGCCGTGAAAACGGCTACTGTCAATATATTTGCGTTTGCCCGGCGGAAAGAGCCACTTCCCGCCAATCCAAGTACAATGTGAGTGCAATCTGCACTCACATTTCCGCGACCATCGCACGTTGAACGCTGATGGATGGATGAAGATCGGCACAGAAGTGCTGCTTCACCATACCAAACTGACTGACAAACCCACAACCACCAGTCTCACGACACTGACGGTAGGTACTGTCGGCACGGCGCCGCTCTGCAATATGATCCCAGCAACACCGAGGAGCTGACCGTAAAGCGGTCGAGCTGCGAGGTATCCGGATCAGGGGTCTTGTCGCAGATCCCCGAGTCACACTAATTATCCAGCCACGTGAAGATTTAACTATTTGGTTTCCGGCGCCCTCGATTGCTTATCTCCATGGGCGTGGCTGTCAGAGTGGGTATAAATCGACACCGCGGCCCCCACTATTCATTCCGCTATTACCGCCTGCATCCAGCGCAGCTCCAGGCCTCCACTTGCCAAGCCATGAAGGTGAGTCTACTGAGGTCCACCTGGAGTTACAGCACCGCCTGTCAAATATTCCCGTCTGTGTTTGCCATGGTTGTCACTGTACCCGCCGCAGACATCGACCGCATCGGTATATCAGTTTGTGTTAGCATGAATCTTCATTGTCTACCTAAAAGTTGGTTCGCAATTTTCTTTATTGCTGATGAGCGCTTGTGCGAGGAACATAGGTATAAACAGTTTTACTACCTTTTGACCTTTCCTCGTAAAATATACTCGTATGTCACCAGACAGGATAAAATGATATTGCGCTTACATTTTGGTTTCCTCTACTTTTCCGCCAATTTACTATAAATGTGAGCAGAAGTTTTAGTAGAAGTAGGTAAATAATTACGGAGCGAGCGAAGCGAGCAGAGTCTTTCCTTAGCTTAACGGAAATTTCTGAGTATGAGCGGCCGGCCGGCCGGCCGGCCGGCCGTGCGAACGCTTTTGCGAGGCTTATATCTCAGCAACCACTTGACCGATTAACATGCGGTAATTTTTGTACGGTAGCTTCATTCCTTCTACCAAGTATTGGACTATCCCCGATGCATGTGGGTGACCCCTTATGCACGTGCCACGTGCAAAACGAAGAGGTGTCAGTTTTGTAATTGTTGCAATATGGTAACTACTTGGCCGATCGCGCTGAAAGTTGGCATGTAGGTAGGCACCCACTAGGCACTGCATATCTATGTGCCAGAGTTGGGGTGCTGCTGCACGTGCGCACGTGCAGGGGTCGTTTCCAGATCTCGAGAACGGCTGAACCGATGGCGCTCAAATTTGGTACACGGTTAGGGATCAGTTAGTAGGGTGCCGTGCACAAGTCAGTTGGGACCCATTTTGCACGTGCGCACACGTGCAGTGTGCCACTTCCAGATCTCGAGAACGGCTGGGCCGATTGTGCTCAAATTTAACACATCGCTAGAGACCGGTAAGTAGGGTGCCGTGCACAAGCCAGTTGGAGGTACCCCCTCGAAATTTCGCACGCACAAGGCTCACCCTCTCGCTCGCTCCGTTAGTCGCCCCAAAAGGCGTTATACTGGTTTACTAGAAGTACCTAGTGTGCGTAGGCATTCCTTATCATGTGACATTAACTATACATTTGTTCAAAATATGAATCCATTGCTCAAAATATACACGTTGGAACCAGGCACCCATGCATGTAATGTTCCGATGCTGAACTATCTTTTAAGGAACTTGATGTATGTAGCACAAAGTTGACCAAACAGTTTCAGAATACAGGCTAATAAATTAGAGAACATGACAAATTAGTCATGATAGAAATTGACCACAGTTTCTTTCTCTTGTTTCAGCTGGTCATCCTCTTCGCCCTGGTGGCTGTTGCCGCTGCCAGCTACCTTCCCTATCATGGCAGCAGCTACTACTACAGCCAGCCCTTCTACTACGGCAGCAACTACTACTCCCCCTACGGACGA